ACTCTGGTGGAGTTAGCGCACGTCCTACAATGCTGTCTCCAGGGTTTGCCTGGTGAGCAGGACGTTAATATCTTTGAGTTTAACACTCCGAGTTGCTTCTCATCAAAGCAGGGCAAGAGATCAAAATATTGACTTAAAAATGTATCTGAACTAGAAAGAGAAACTCTTATGTAACAAAAGGATGGCTAATTACGGTGCATTTGAGGTAGACTGAGGTAGTCATAGATAGTGTTTAATTGTCAGAATCCTGCTGGTAGCTGAAGGGATGGAATCCCCAGAAGGTCTGGAGAAGAGGAGAGACTGCAGGGGGAGGCTGAGGTGGAGGAAGGAGCCCAAAGCATTCTGAGTCCAGTCCTGGCTCTGTTCTCCATGGAAACCATCGCCAAGTCATATCTCCCCCCACCTGAGTCTTGGTTGTTTTTTTCTAAATTTATAACTACGAAATTGAATAATAGTTCTCGCCCCCCAGGATTTTTGTGAAGATTAAATAAAATGTGTGTGTGAAAGCATGTTGCACGGAATAGGGGCTTGGTTAATGACAATAGTCAGTTGGGAATTGTAGCCATGGATAAGAGATTAGAAATGCAGGGGAAAAATGCCGCTGAAGATCTTTTTGACATTGTGGTTCTTGACACGGCAAAACACATTTGAACATTCCTGGAAACTTTTGAAAAATAACCGTGCCTATGTGCTCCGCTCCAGACTGAGGTGATCAGAATCTCTGGAGGTAGAACCTAGACTTAGAAAAGGATGGCAAGTGCCCTGGAAATTCCAATGTGCTGCCAGTGTTTGAACCATGGCACAATCCCCTGTATTGGAGATGAGGAAATGAAAGTCACAGATAAAGCAGAGTCAGCAAGGCCCAGCCTGGAAGGGCCTGCATCCTGGGCTATCTTGTCTCTGTTTCCTGTTTCCAGAGACCTCGAGGGCAGGTGCCCTGCTGTGGCTCACTGACTCAGGAAACGCTTTTGAAGATCTTCTGTGGTCCATGTGCACAGGAGACAAGAAGTCAGATGGTGTCTATCCACTGACGAGATCAGGATGGTGAGGAGAACGGACGGGTCGTACACTAGAACGGGGCTCCTCTCCTGTCAGAGCTCTGGGCAATTGCAGAAGAAGGAGGTAAATCCAGGGGAGGCACTGAGAGTTGGGTATGGAAGGAGTTTATGAAGTTATCCGGGAGGACAAGTGTGTCGGGCACACTCCAGGACCCAAGTGTATCCCAAGATGGGAAGGTCACCTGGAGTGGTAGGTAGATGTGAGGATTCAGAAAAGAAGGCTGGAAACATGCTTAGTGATAACACTGATTTTCTTAATCTGCATTTCACAGGTAATAATTTGAATTTGCTGATATTGCTTAAGTAATAGAACTGTGACCCCTCAAAGGGCCCCTTGGCTCTGTTACCTTTTGGTGGCAAATTGAACAGATTAATGAGGCTGATTTGGGGGTATTTCAGAAGGGCAAGAAGTGTCCACGTTGTGTGTATTTGGCACTTTTATTTTCAGCAGAGTTGGAACTAGGAAGCACATCCAGTCAAAATTTAGAAAGAAAGAACGGGAGTCAGGCAGTTTGACATTTAGTTTAAGAAATGAATGTGTACTGCAGAAAGCAGGCATCTTCAACCAGTTTTACTCAGATCTCTACGAGAGATTTATTTTTATTTTTGTCTTAAAAAGTTACCGTATTGCTGAGAGGGAATGCACTCTAATTTGGGTAATTAGCAAAAAGAAAAATGTAGAAACTTCGCTCAGGGAGCAACTTCCTTGAATAGGAAGGCATGAAAGCCTTTTGTGTTTGTTTTTGTCTTGTATAACAAATGATTTTCCTTGCAATGGGCCAAATTGCACTACTGCGTGGTGGTGGAACACGAGCCCAAGACCTGGCGGCTTATCCTGGGATACTCCTGATATCAATCTTGCAGCCCATTCAAAGGAAGGTCAGAGCTGGGCTGCGCCAACCTCCCTGCTGAGAATTAGCCCAGTTTCGTCCTGTGTGGGGAGCCCCTAGCTCACCAACCTTTCCTGTTTAGGGTGCACAGATGGAGGGGAGAGGCTCTGCAGGGAGTGCAGAGTTAAGAAAACACAGCAGGGGAACACTGTCCCATGCTACAGACCAGGGCTTTTGCCACTCTGCTCTTGTGAAAAACTACATCTGCTGAGTAAGGGGAGACAAAGAGAATTGTGGATAAACTCAGAGTGAGCAAGGACCCAGGAGCCTCATCTGTCTTTTATTAATGCCTTGAGTTAACCAGAATGCTAAGGGAAACACTTGTTGCTTGGCCTTCATTCTGCAAATGAAGTTGCCGAGACCCTGGGCTCCGGGTTTTCCCAAAGTGGCTTTCCCAAGTTGAAGTTCATGGGGGAGCCAAGCTGGCATTCGAGGTACCTAGGTCTTCTGAGTCCTCCCCATCAAAGTGTTGTCCGCAAAGCTACACGTGGTTATAATTAGCTAGCTTGTTAGCCATGGCCCGGAGCGAATAATAGGACTGCTTTGCAAAACTGTTTCGGACTGGAAAAGAAAAATGAGGACAAACTCAAAACTGGGCCTCTGTGCCTTTATCTTCCACTCTGTCACTTACAGGATTTAGTCTTTCAAACTGTGTGCTCATCTGTTTTGTTTTGCCTTAGAAATTGCCTGTTTTATCAGAATAGGGGTGAATCTCATATTTGTCACCATCAGCTTGACCTGTAGGCCACCCTTACCCACCATGCCCTCCTGCCTTCGGCTCATGCAGGGAGAGATGAGTATGACCAGCATATCCCCATCTTCCGAGGAGCCACACTTTAACTTTTCCACCAAAGAGGAGCCGATCAGGTCTGGCCCTTTGTTCTGTAACACATTCTTAGACTCTGTGATGCCCCGGATTTTGACTTTGGAAACCCTTGCAGGAGCTTTGTGTAATATTCGAGGTCCCCCTGTGATGGACCAACTATATTTTGTCAGCAGGTTTGCCAGAACCAGTTCTTCTTGAACTCTTTGCTTTTAAACGTGCTAAGGAACTGCTTGGTTTGGGGCAGCATCTCTTTCCTCTTCCCTGTCATGAGAATGAGGACGGCTTCCTGCTTAGGGCCACCTCACCTCCCTCCACTCCCAGGGAGGATGCATGCGTAGTAATGTGTTTTCCAAAGAGACTTTGGCCTGGAAACCAGGAGTCCCAGGAGAAGACACTTCATTCATGGCCCTGTGGCTGTGAGGGGTTGCTGCATTCTGCTCCATTTCTACAGGTGAGGACCAGAACGGTCTGACTTTAGGTTATAGCAAAGAACTATGGAGCTAGAATTTAATCTGCTCAGATCTAATATTAACTTAGAACCGTTTTTTTCCAAGTGGACCGAAAGCCAGCCCTGCTTATTGAGCTCGTGCCAGGGTTTTGTGGGAGTCCTAGTAGCTGTGAGTCCCTTGTTGGCAAGGAACTAAGTTCAGCACTGTACCTGGCACGCGAATGGAGGAACCGCGAATGGTGTTGACTGAAGGAGACTGGCGAAGTGCAGGGTTTTCCTGTGAGTTCCACCCTGAGGCCACTCCAGCGGAAGCACATCCTATTCATTCTCTTGGGGAGGCGCGGCAACTTCACTTCCTTCCAGAGAGGAAGGGAAAGGTGTGACTCCGCTGGGATTCGCCTCACAGTGGTTAGCATGAATCTGGTTTCTAAGGGGAGGCTGGCAAAGCATAGATGCAGGAAAAATCATTCTTATTCTTCTCCGACAACCACAGACGGAGCGAGACTTTTGTACAGTTACTCTGCTGTACAGAATGTCAAAGTGTACATGGTGTGGTGCAGGTCAGGGAGCAGGGCTAATAGCTGTAGGCCAGCTCTGCCTGGCCCAAACGCTTAGGGTTAGCACCCTACTGTGAATAAAGCAAGCACACTTCATTTCTTAAATGTAAATCTGAAAGTTTTGTCACTGAAAATTTTGTGACAGCGATTTGCGCTGAAAGGAGATGATATTTTTTACTGTTTCAAGTCAGTTTGGGGCACTACAAGATTTGGGGGTGTGGGGAGGATGAAGGAAGGAGGGAAGGGAAGGAGAGGGGTGAGCCCCCGTTTGGGGAGGAGGAGGTGAACTGCAGCGCAGACAAGCCATGCCCTGACCAGCCACAGGGGGCGTGCTGGAGCACAAGCGGTCTCTCAGAGCCAGCGCCTTTACCGCACTGCCCCGGGCAGTGGGTTGTGCGGGAGACCCAGGGAGGGCCTCCCGTTAGACGGGGAGCTCTTTTCAACGGAAGCTGACCCTGAGGCAGCCAGCAGCTCCTGAGGGAGCTCAGGGAAGCTGACCCTGAGGGAGTTACAGGGCCTTTCCTGTAGTGCTCCTCGCTGCTGAGGTTGAGCGTGCACTTCTGTTTCCATCTCACACTCAGCTTCATCACTAGTGAGTCTCCTCCACGGCAAGTGTTTTCGCCTGCCCCACCCCCTTGTGTAAGTGACTTTTCTGTAAACGGAAATTTACAGTATGGCACCAACGGAGACAGGCTGTCAGCTACTGAGTCCTTTCACTGTAGCCTCAGCTGAGATGGCGGTGTGATACGGACAGTCTCTTTGGGCCACATGATGAATCCCCCTGCCGCCATTTTGGAGCTACAGGAACTCTTGCTTCATCCTTATGATGTCTTTAACGTGGAGCCAGGTGCTGGTTTTTCAGAGGCCAGAGTTCTAAGCCAAAGGCCACAGTGAGGTGGTAGAAATCCCTCCCCACTCACATTCTGTTTACATTTATCTTTCAAGAAATCTTTTGGTCTGAGATTACAGACTCAACCTCTACTGCCTTGTGTCTTCCACCAGGAAACGAATGTGTCCTCCAGGCCACCCCACTGTGGACATCAGCTGCCTGATGTCTTGGCCACCCACACTGTCCACACAAGCTGTCGCTGTGACATTCAGTGGGGTCTTTGCCTTTTAGGATTAGTGACTGCTACATCCCACTATTATCAGAGCTGGCTTTGACCACCAGCTGTCTCAGCTGCAAAGTGTGCCAACCTCTCCTCCTTTCTTTTTGTTCAGGTTGGAAAGCTTATCCAAGAAGCAGCTGGAAGAAGTAATTTGAAGAGAGTAACTCTGGAACTTGGAGGAAAAAATCCCAATATTATTTTTGCAGATGCGGATTGTAAGTCAGTCGTAGAACTCATATACATTCCAGCACACCACCCTTTGGTGCTCTTTTGTACCACCGCTTGTTCTGTTTTGTTTCTTGAGGCTGGACCTCGCTATGTAGTCCAGGCTGACCTTGAACTTGCTGTCTTCCCGCCTCAGCCTCTTGAGTGTTGGTATATCTCCACTCTTGATAGGACACTAAGATCTTTGACAATAAGGGTAGTTGAGAGAAAATAAATTAACATTTGGGAAAGGGCCTTTATTAATTATCGCACTGAGTTTGTTTTATCTACAGACAAGTCATTTTGATTCTGTGATGCTATAGAGTAGGGAAGAAGAGGTAAAGCCTCAGTCAGCGGATACTGCAGAAGGGACAGTGTTGGAAGCCTGCAGACAATGTAGGTACACTCTCTCTGCCCAGATTCAAACAGTCTAAATCCTTAACTGGGCCTGGTAGCTGATAAAGCATTTCAAATAAATCCTACTCGCTAGCCCTGCTGACATTTTCACAGCCCTTCCTGCTGCTCCCGGGAGTTCAGCAAGGATGACGACACACTCGGGTCTGTTCTGTGGGGATGGACCTCACCAGGGGGCCCTCACAGAAGCTCCAAGCAGTAACCTAGGAAACACATCTCCAGGGAGGAGGCCACCTAGGCAGCGCTGCACAGGTGGGGCTTTCTGTTTTGGAAAGCTCTCCAGGGAATGAAATTCCAAAATCTCATTCAGTCGTTCTTTCCTTCTCCACATCCTCCTCCAGGCAGAGATGCTTTGCCAGTTGCACCAATGCAGAGGTCAGAAAACAGAAAGCAGATGGCTCAGATCGCAGCCGCAGCTCGGAATGTGCAGAGCTCAGCCTTAGCTTCACACTGGTTGTCAAGATCAGGTTTCCTAAACCTGTTCCTCTGGAGGGGCAGGCACTGCACTGTGCATTGATGGTCGGCCAGCCTCACAGCACCAGCCAAGCCACATTTATAAAGATGGTTTTAGGTATAAAATATTAGAGATGGAAATGAAAAAATTGTCATTGCTCTAGTACAGCTCCATCTCGATACAGAGGAAATTTAGAGTCTTGAGGAGCCTTTGCTGATATAGCAGAGCTACTCAACTGTAATTAAACGTACAAGAGCCCATAAATTAGGGCTGTAAATCCGCAGTCCACGGGCCAGATGTACCTAGATACACAGTGACCTGTCTGAACATCACACCATGGTGGAAACAGCATTGTACACTCATACATTGCTTGCTATTTTGTTTTTGAACTTGAAAGATCTGGCAAACTCAGCTTATACTCCTACATGGCGAAGAGCTAACACAGTGGCTTCCTCTCTTGGTCACTCTCTCACTGGTCCCTGGCAGACCTGAGTCTTTACATTATCATTTTGCACAGTGCCTTTTGAGACTTCCTTTAGGGAGGACAGAGTGTCAGTCCCTCTGTTTACAGAACAGGAAAGAGACGCCGAGAAGTGAAATTATCCCAGTTGGCATCACAAGTAACGTCAGGCTGAGTTAGAACTCAAACTGAACTGCGATCTGAGCTGAGGGCTGTCTGTTCACCGCTGTGCCCTGGGTTGACAGGAGGCGACACCTGGGGTGGAGGGGAAGGGGGCGGGCGGCTCCAGGGCTGGACCAGCAGGCAGAGCGCGTGGCGAGCGTGGCCGCCTCTCTTGCAGTGGACCATGCTGTAGAGCAGGCGCACCAGGGCGTGTTCTTCAACCAAGGCCAGTGCTGCACCGCGGGCTCACGCATCTTCGTGGAGGAGCCGATCTATGAGGAATTCGTGAAGAGGAGCGTGGAGCGGGCCAAGAGGCGCACAGTGGGGAGTCCCTTTGACCCCTCTATCGAGCAGGGGCCTCAGGTAGATAAATCCCCAGCATCCCTCTGTCCACCTCCTCTCTGGGCAGCACAGACTCTGGGCATCTTCCCTTTCCTGCTGCCTCTTTCCTGCTCTACCAGTCCTCCTGGCTGGAAGTGTAGCCCCCCACCCCACTCTCACCCTGGGACACTGCTTGCTTCTTACGCTGCTTTTTCCTTTTCTGAATTTTACCTCAGAACCACTGTGGGACTAGGGTTGACTTAAGGCTGTTTTGAGCTTAAGGGGATGATTTGGAGTCTGATAAGATAGCTCTTGTCGGCAGAGCCTAGCCCCCATCCTTCTAACCCCTACCTTCCGGACACCCCGACAGGTGACACAGCAGGCAGGTGAGCCTCTCCCCTTCCGGTCTGTGTGTTCCTTACAGGCTGCTGAGGTTCTCTTCACCACCCTGCCGTAGTCTGCAGAGACTGTGGGCAGGCAGGGCTGCCTGACTTCCCTTAGCTCTGTGGTTCTCTCTTACTCTGACCACATCCCTCGTTATGGTGGGGTGTAGAGGGCCACAAACTTTCCTCTTGGGAGTTCAGGCTGTGGCTCGCTGACCATCATTGGAGTCTGAAATCTGTTAAGAGAGATGAGAGCCGCTGCTTGGGGCTTCCTGTGAAGGAGGACGTCTGCTCAGTTTTAGAAAACTTGTATTCCAGCTGGACAATTTGAACTTGTAGGTCAAAGTAGGCTTTTATATTATTTACTATAATAATTTAATGAATGATAACTCTTAGTTTGGGGCAGGGGATTTTGGAGTAGGAAGCTCACCCTCCTTCTGTAGGCTTAATCATCTCTGAAGGAATTACTTTCAAAAGAAACCCATAGGATTTGGCGTGGCACGATCAAAAAAGGATGTGTTAACTTATGTATTTTTTATTATGTTACTAAACTATCCATTTGTTTACAGAATATGGAGTTTCCTCACATAAACCATGAGTAATAAATTAGCCAGTGTCTTTATCATTTTGAAATGTTTCCTAAATCTTCATCTGGTGTTTCAGATTAGATGCAATCATCATTAGAGCAATATCTTTATCACAAGCCTCCATAGAGCCAGTTCAACCATAGAAAACTGCCATTTTTCATAGGTCATCACTTGATGAATAACAGCTGTTTCATAAGATTTGACCAGATATAGTGAAATTTTCCAAAAAATTGTGCTAGAGGAGAGGGTCTGAAGAACACACTTATTTCTATCTTCAGAGAAGGATTTGCTTGTCCCATGGTTCCTCCTATAGATTGATAAGAAACAGTACAACAAGATCCTGGAGCTCATCCAGAGTGGAGTGGCCGAGGGCGCCACGCTGGAATGTGGAGGCAAAGCACTGGACCAGATGGGGTTCTTCATCGAGCCCACTGTGTTTTCCAACGTCACCGATGACATGCGGATTGCCAAGGAGGAGGTATCAGATACGGCGTTCTTACAAAAGCCGCATCTTTCTTGGGATGATTTCCAGAGCTTTTCTAGTAGACGACATCAGCCTTTTAGCTCTTGGTATTTTGTGCACATTCATTTTGCAATAGCAAAATCGTAGCTATGGCTATGCAAGTCCCAGTTTCAAGAAAACAGTGAAACCAAATTACAAGCAAGGGGTGTGGAGACGAGGGGCCACATGGTGTGACTGTGACTGTTATTGGTGAGCTGAACCATCAAAATGGCTGGTCCGTTCTCAAGAGTACGGGCCCCTAGATGGTTAACTATGACAGAGAAAACACTCAGGCATCTTTGCATCTGTGCAGGTAAGGGACAGGAGCACATTTATCTGCAGTCCCCAGCAGTGTTTGGGGGTCAGGGAGAAAGCCACTTGCTCTTCTGTGCCCCAAAACTCACTGTTAGAACACACAGTGGGTCAAGCGATTCCAGAGAAGCTGGGGTGTGTCAGTGCTAACTGACTGAGTCTGAGGTCAGACTCATGTAATCTTAGCTCTGGGAAAGTTAGTACTATTTTACAATTTTGTGCTCCTACCCTGAAATGACAGTTAAATCAAGGCCAACTAAACTTGCTTAAAATTGGGGAAAGCAGATGAAGAAGCTGCCGAGCAGCTGAACTGAGTCTTAACTGTTTTGTTGCAGATCTTTGGTCCCGTTCAGGAAATTCTGAGGTTTAAGACTATAGATGAAGTTATTGAAAGAGCCAATAACTCGGACTTTGGACTTGTAGCAGCTGTCTTTACTAATGATATCAACAAGGCCCTCACAGTTTCTTCTGCAATGCAGGCTGGGACTGTATGGTAAGATCAGAGGCAACCTCATTGTCCTGGCCCTGACAAATTCCACTGGTGCCATAAAGTCTTGTATTCATTCACTTTTCATTCCTGCAATGGATTACCAGAGGCAGGATAACTTTATTTGAAAAAGATTTACTTAGTTCACAGTTTTGGAGGCTGTAAGCCCCAAAAGTGAGTGCCCCTGTGGCTGTGTTACTTCATGGTGGATGGAATGGCTAAAACACATGGGAGAGGAAGCCATCACATCATAAAGCACAAGCCCAGAGAGATAAATTCAGGTATTGGGCTCACTCAGAACAACTTACTGTTCTAAGAGCTTTGGACCTATGCTAGTTACTTTTCTCTCATTGCTGAGACAAAAATGCCCAACACCTGAAATTAAAGTTGGAAAGGTTTATTTGGCTCATAGTTTATAGAAGCTTCAGCCCATAATCTGATGGCTCCAAGGTAGGGTGGCAGAGGGGCAATAGTTCATGGCAGCAAAAGCAGCAAGAGATCATAACAGTGTCTTTCTGCCCCTTTTATTTTATTCAGACTACGCAGGGTGGATACTCCTCATGCTCTTAATCCCAGTGCCCCCTGGCCTTGCCCCACCATGAATCAGTGACACACTCTAGATTGAACCGTTTCTTAAAAAGAAGCATGAGGCTTTGTGGGGGGGCATCTAAACACAAGCCGTGACAGAGCCCATGAGTGAGGGTGAGACTTTAAACCCTCTGAGGGCAGCTGTCCCAGTGACCTAAGGACTCCTACTACGATCCACACCATCACCCAGTACCACCACCTGGGGACCAGTCTTCTAACACATGGACCCTCAGGGAACAAATCACATCCAAACTATAGCAGGGCTTTAGGATCTAGGGTACAACAGAGGCACCCTGTAAGGATGGGGAAGACCCAAGTCAACAGGCTTGGATACACTTCTTACTGGCCAGATGAGGAAGCCATGGTAGGTTTTAAGCTACAGTTTTCTCACATGGCGACAAGAAGTAAAAAGTAAAAAACTAAAAAGAATTATCATATCTGATTATTTCTGGGCAGGTGGAATCCATACTAACAATATTGTATATTTTGTTCTTTCAGGATCAATTGTTACAATGCCTTAAATGCCCAGAGCCCCTTTGGGGGGTTCAAGATGTCTGGAAATGGGAGAGAAATGTAAGTATCAAAGCTGCTAAAGTGTGCAGAGAAATAGAGATTAAACATATCATAGAATAGTTTAATTCTCTTACATCCATTTATTTAACTACCATTTTGATGCACACGTGGTACTATAAACTAATAGTAGCCATGAGTACAAAGTCACTCTAAGAGGAAGAAGAGAAAAATTAATGTACCTATAATTTCATGTAATAAGAGCCATTGAGGAAGGTAGGTCAAAAACTCTTGTAAATATAGAGTAAAAATCCATTCATTTTGCCTGATGGGGTCAGAGAAGGTAACACAGAGAAGACAACATTCCAAGTAGTAGGAGAAGGAATTCACAAACTGCCATCCCAAGGGCCAGATGTGGCCGATAGAAACCTTTCTTCTTCACAGTTGAGGTCTTTACCTTAGACTCCACAATGAAGAGGCTTTATATAAAACCTAGAGCTTTTTTTTGCTTATTTTTGCTCCCCATCACAAAACTGCCAGCTGTGACTCTGCACTGCGCCCACCAACCCTGTGCTTCTAGGTCCTCAGCACTTGCTGCCATTCCTGCCAAACCTGCTCTGTGCACCCGCCTTTATTGATCACCAGCTCAGACCCTGTGGGCTCTTTTGAGATTGGGCCTGTGGAGTTAGGGCATAGGATCAGCGGAGAGACTGCTTGGAGATACTGGTGGAAAAGTTGGCTTAAGCCACTCTCAAAGACAGCGGCGGATACCCTTGGAAGGCTGGCTGGACACTACCGGACAGTCTGCATTCTTAATTCTATCTTAACCCTGACAGTGATCCTCTAAGGTACTTGAGGCACTGTAATTGTTCCCATCTTGCAGATGAGAACATTGAGGCTCTGGGAGATTGAGCAATTCATCCAAGGTTGCACAGGTGGTAAATGCAAGAGCCAAGATCTGAGCAGTGTGATTGTCCAAACTTCTCTGAGCCTTGAAGCTCTCCCTGCTTAATGGTCTAACACTAGGGGCTAGAAAAGACCAGCTAAAGCATCTGAAGCAATAGGTTCAATGCACATTTCTCAGACATCATCCTCACTGCTCCCTCTATGCCTTTCTTCACTCTTATCATCACTGCAACTTTAAGTCACCCTGCAATCTTGAAAAACCGTCCCCCTTTCTCCTACTCAACTGTTCCTCTCTTGGAAAGGCCAGTCCAAGCCCATGTCCAGGGAGCCCGGGGCTGTCCCCTGAGCACTGTGGCAAGGGCAGCCGCCTGCAGGTTGCCCGATAGACATGAGCCCAGTTTTCTCAGCTCTGCCTGCCCAACCACTGTTTCTCTTGCCATCCTTTCCCGTGCCTGCTCCTCTGAGATGATAGGTGGCAAAGCACAAGCTGGACAACACGCATCACAAACAGGGCTGGGAGGGAAGCTGTGGGTCTTAGCATTTTAGAATTGAAGGACGCAGGCTTTGCAAATGGGAGTATGATGGGGATACTCTAAAATGTCTGAAGGTGTGCGTGCCTGTGTGTAGAAAGGAGTCACAGGCAGCCCAAAGGCCTAGGGCTGTTAAACACGCTTAGCCGGGGGCCCACTCTCAGAGATCCTGATTTAGTAGATCTGGGCTAGGGCCCAGGATCTGCATTTTTAACAAGCTTTGAAATGATTCTGACGCAGGTAGTCTGGGGACCTCATTCTGAGAAATTCTGCTCTAAGCCAAATAAAAGAGCAGGGAGACATATAACCTAAACAGACACCCTGTTTGCTTTATGGGTGGGTCTGAGTGCTTCCTAAAATGGCTTGCTGGGAGCTACTGAAACCCAATATTTCCCTTCCCCCTAGGTATGCCGTGCTTGGCTTATCTGAGGGATTATAGCCCAGTCCGCTGAGAAGCAGGAAGACTGGTTTCCAAATGTCCCAGTGCCCCGTGGGCCTGAGTCTCTGTCAAAGTGACCGCACACGGAGACGGGCGCTTCTGTGACAAGATGCTGCTTTATGCAGCAGGGCTTTTCCTTGCTAACTGTGGCCTGCACAAGTAACCAGATTTAAGAGCAAGACCCTGAACGAGATGGAGTTGCTGAAGAAGCACCCATACTCCTGGGCTTCCAAACCCTTCAGAAGTGCTTGTCAAAGTGTGTGCCAGATGACCCCTTCTGTCTCCTGGTCCCTCCCTGGGCCTACTGAGACAGGATCTTTGCTACAGGGAGGACAAAACCCTACCATTTAATTGGGCAATGACTTGTGCGTGCTGAGCTTCAGATAGGGTAGCCTCACTGGAATCTTAAGGCAGCTGATGGCAGAGCCCTAGGTTTCTTCTCTGCCCCTTGTTTGCAGGTCACACTGCTCTAAGGCTTCTCCCCGGCTACCCTGGTTGTCGTGGGCACACGGGCAGTGCCCCTCTGCCTCATAACCAGCAGTGCATGCTTCCCACACTGAGCACAGCGGGATCCCACCATGCTGCAGCTCGGGACCACACCATGTGGCTTGCTCGTCTGTCCGTAGACTTGCTCATGTTTCTCATCCAGGTCTTATCCCAGTGGTCCAGGTGAGAGGCAAGAGGGATCTAGGGTGTGCCCAAGTGTGTGTCCAAGCCAGGAAATAAGGAGGGAGTCACTCACTTCAGACTGAGGTGCAAGGAGTCCTCGGAACAGAGGCATATTCAGACTTGCCTGAGGGCAGGAAGGCAACTGGACAGCCAGGGCTGCACTGGTCATCAAGAGGGGCTGCTGGGACCGAGTTAATGAGGGGCCTGTGCTCTTCTCGCTCTGAGTGGGGTGCACTGTACAGGCAGAGGACACCATACCTGCCACTCTGCCTTGGCCCTCTGATGTCCCCTGGGCCTGTCAACTCAGGAATCCCTCGCAGAGTGACAGGAGCCTTGCATAGGCTCCTGGGAATCCCCAAGAGGAATCAGGAGGAGGCGTTTACTTGTAAGGCCCAGTGGTAGGAACTTTGCTTTTCAGACACAGCCTTTCTTCATCCCGTCCCACACAGAGACATCTCTGAGGCCTCTTTTCTTCTCTCCTGGTGGAGACCAGGTGGCGAGTGTAGGAGAGGGGAGGAAGGCAGGGGAAGATGTCTCTTCCCCTCCTCCTTCCCTCCACAGTGCTGCACACGATGTTTGGTGAGGGCATAAAGCTAGAGCGGAGGGCTCCAGCCCTGAGGGGGACAGGGCCCCCCTGATGTGGTGCTGCTGGATAGGAGTGGGCCTCTGGGACACAGGAGGGGACCCTTCTCCCCAGGTCCTTAAAGAAGAGAAAAGAAAAACATATCCTTTTAAAAGAAATTGGGACACACTTGATTTGAGATGAGACAGGAGAAAGAAGAAGCAACTAACGAGCTGAAGGGAGGAGAGGAGAGACAGGCGGAGGAAGAGGGCCCCGTGGTGAGCAGGCTTGGTCACATGGAGCCCTTTTGGGAGGGTGTGCGAGGCTGGAAATGGCGCCTGGAGAGACCTCCCCACTCTACGTGGCTCAGCCCCAACCACTGCAAGCCCTACAGAGGCTGGGCAGTTAGCTAGCTTCACTGTCCTGAGCCCAGCACAGTCCCCTGCCGCACAGAAATAGCTCAATACACATTTTTTGACTGAATGACTGACAATCCTTGATCCATGAGAAGTCCCAGAGAGGAAGTGGCCAAAAGAAATCTTGGGGAGAACTTACGAACAGTTCCCAGTTCCTTTCTAGCCAGATCTTTCAGCTCCCTAAATCTTTCTCCTGCCTCTGCAGGGATGTGGGCAGCATCACTCAGGACTGCCTGGAAGGGGGCAGGCCTAGCAGTGACAAGCTCTTGGGGCTCATGATGAGGACAGAGCCATCCAGAAAGGACACAGCATAAGCTGGGTTCTAGAGGACAGCTGTCTTGGTCCTCAGAACCAATGCTGACCCTGGGTGGGGCGGGTGGCCAAGGCACTGAGACACCCAGCCCCGTTTCCTCCCTGGGCACCTCTGGTGGCGGCTCACCCAGGCTGGCACTCTCCGCAGCTGGGAGTCTCTGGCTTTCTACGCTGCAGTGAAAACACCTCAGCCTTGGTAAGACATAGTGGCTGCCCCCAAAGTGACAGAAGAAGGCCTGGCTTGCAGAGTTTTGCATGGCTCCGTAAGACTTGTGGCTTACTGGTGATACCCTGCACCTCTGCTCCTGGCCTCTGGTGCCTGATCTGCCTGTTTCTGTGTTTCAGGGGAGAGTTCGGTTTGCGAGAGTACTCGGAAGTTAAGACAGTCACTGTCAAGATCCCCCAGAAGAACTCCTAGGAAGAGCCAGGAGGAAGGTGAAGGCGGCCTGTGCACTCCCCTCTGCTTTCTCTGTAGGGCCCGCTCTCAGGAACACAGAGTTGAGCTGTGGTCCTTCTTCACAGGTTGAAATGATGACACAGAACAGGCCTGTCACTCGGCTGACACAAGGGGCAGGGTTTCTGGATCTTCCAGAAAGGGTCACCTCAGTGATGTCAAATACTGGGGGAAGAGGGGCTCAGGGAAGGAGGAGCTGTAGGGTGCAGTCAGCGTCTCTTTCTGGAGCCAGGGTCGGGATAAGGGAGGTGGGTCATTTGATGCCTCTATCACTGAGAACTTCCCTCGCCAGGAGAGGAGGCCTTTGCGCTATCTTCCTTCTCCTCCTTTTACTTTCTTCCTATCACCAGCCCTCCTTGTCCTCCAAAGAAATCTCAGCTGAGCTCACTGGGGGCAGATGTTTGGGCTGGGAACAATTTTCCAAGGTATTGTAGCCAAATTACCATTTCATGTTATCCATTTCTTCAAAACAAAACATGAAATGGTTTTAGTTAGAGTCAGACCAGACCAAAACTGCCAGGAGCTGGTACACTGCGGATGTTCTAAGTAGTAAGAACTTGGGAAGTTCCTGACCCACTCCGGTTTCCTTAAATCTATAGATAATGGGAGTGAAAGATCAAGGAAAAGGACAGCAGAGGTTGTCATGCAAGGGTTCCGGCTTCTGAGCTTGCTGCAGTTGTGACAGCACACGTGTGCATGCTTTTGGAGGAACGGTTGTCTTTCTTAAATGGATAAGATCTTTTGCAAGCTTACCTTAAAACTAACCAAAAAACAATCCAGGTAGGCTGAGAAGTTGGTAAGGCTGGGTGCTCTGCAAAAACAATCCTGTTTCTGGCACTGGCTGCCTGTTTTTGTGCAACGAGTCACTGCTGCAGCTGGGACCTGACAGTGTCCCCTGCACCCGCCACTCCCAGGGCTGTGACCTTGGAGAGTCCAGCCCAGCCTGAGGGCTTCTTTCTCCGCTTGCAGAATTCTCGCGAGCCGTGAGTGCCCTTGTCCCACCGCAGCTCCTCTGTGTGCCTGGTTGTTCGTCCATGCTCCACGCTGTCCTCCCACCCAGCAAGCCTCAGCCTGCAGAGGAGGGGGCTGAAGCAGGCCTGCCTCACTTTCCTCCCAAACTCACTGTCCTCCCCTCTTTCCACAGAGTCCCCCAGTTTAGCGGGAACTTAGTGTTAGCTTCCTTTTCTCCTCTTTTTGGCTGGCAGATCCAAGCCAATCTCTGATCTAGATGAAGGTCGTTTACTTAAGAGTACCAAACATAAGCTAGCAAATGTGGGACACATGTATGTGTAGCCTTTTGCATTTAACAGTTTCGGCTTTCTCACTATACTGGTTTTCCACTTATAACCCTTGTTTCTTCATGACTTTTCAAAGAAACCTCTCCTTGCTGTTATTTGCAAACGACATTGCGGTCTGCAGCCTGGTGCCCTGACAGAAGCCAGCTTTCTGAGTCCTCCCATGGAATACCCTGCTCTTCTCCCGTAGCGCACCCAAGCGACCATACCCACTGACCAACTAGTTACCTTTGGACTGCAATAGAGAATGTGAAAATGAAGATTTATTTCTTTTAATTTACTTAAGAAGAAACCTGTGCTAGCAATAAAGCATTTATATTGTGTACCTGTTGCGATCCTTTGGCTGTGTTTGTGACTCTGTGCCACACTAAGCCAACCTAGGTCCTTCCCTCTGCCACTGGGTTTTTCATCTATGCAGCTCTCTGGGATTATTGAGAGATATTTTGGGTTACTAAGAGGATATTTTTATAGAATGGATTAAGGTAAACAAAACCTTATTTTCTGGCTCTGTTTAACATCCCCGTGTGCACATAGTTTTGTGTGACAAAGAAATAAAACAACAACAAGAGCCCAAATATATGAATGATGAGTTTCATCCAAAATACCCCATGGAGGCTTCAGCGTGGAGCAGCTTGAAGGGCCCGTTCTCATCGCCATGAGCTCCACACAGCTGTGGGCATTTCACACCAGTTTATTTTTATTTACCAAAGTGAAATGAAGACAGAGGCTGACAACCTACTAAGATATGTTTGCAATCGTGAAAAAAAAAAAAAGCTGTAAATGGGGACTGTCCCACAGCCCAGAGCAGTGATGGTGAACCTTTTAGAGCTTTGAGTAATAACAGCCCACTGCGGCACACGTGCCATAGGTTCGCCACCTCCAGACTACAGCTTATGGGCTCTGAGTTATCAAAGCTGAGCTCTGGGAGAGGGGTTTCCACCTCTTGGACCTACACATACCCCACTTGTAACTCTGTTCAAGTTCTAGTCAAGTGAGACAAAAACCTGTTAATTTAGGTCAGAGTCCATCTAGCCTGGGAAGAAGATCCATTTTCCTGGGCTGAGGTGTGGTGCTCTGTGCCCTGATCATGGGCCCCTGGAAGGAAGCAAAGAAACACAGGAGGATGCAGCCCCTGGGGCACAGGGCAGAACTCTGATGGAAGACAAGGGCCTGTGAACCGAGCTCCTGTTCAGTGCCTTGAGCCCTCATTGGGAAATAAGAAAATGCAGTGTCAACCTTCAGTCTCCGAAAAGTGCTGCTCCGATGCCTGTGGACAGCAGGGAGCCAAAGAAGGCAGATTCAAGAAAGCGTTCTTGAAAGGGAAAGCCTTCAGAGGTGGCCCTGCTGCCACGCCCAGGAGGGATGGGCAGGAGAGAGGCGCGTGTGCTGGCAGCTGGTCAGCCAGGGGCGCCTCATGGAGAGGCAGCAGGAAACGGGTAGTGGCTGGTGGGAAACGGGGAGCGATGGCACTGAGAAGAGCACACACACAGGTCTGGAGCGAAGTGGATGGAGGGAGTTTTCAGACTCCGTGACCAGGGAATGGCGGTGTCAGTGCCCCGAAGGCTGAAACTTTGAACGAAGTTTTGGAGCAAGATCTTAACTTCTGACTTTGGTGTGTGAATTGTGGGGTGCAAAGACAGTGAGGCGGAAATCTCCAGCAAGCAGTGGGAACTTGGTTCAGGCGACTTGTGTGTGGCATAAACATAAGAGGGATGGCTGTGGACAGAGGGAGATGGAATGAAACAAGACGGGCCAGGAAGTGCACCCAGCAGAGGAGGCCGTGGGTATCCAGCCTGTCCCCCTTCCCGCATACCCAGCGTGGACAGGTGGGACACAAAGCCAGCCGGCACAGCTGCTCCCAGGTGTCTGTGGTGTGGAGGGACGCTCTGCAGTCTCGTACGCCTCCCAGGCACACACACCCAGCTCCCAGAGAGGTGCAGGGCCTTCCCCGCACGCTCAGGGAGTAACCGCAGTGACATCTCTGCCCACAGCAGCACTGATGAGCAGTGGGATGGAGTGGGAACAGTGTCACCGAGGGTCACAGGAGATGAGAAACCCTCAGGTGGAGTAGCTTCACTTCCACAGGCCCCCGTCCCTCTCTGTGCACTCTGGGCCCACTTCTCTCTGAGAATTAGGCACCACCGCAGATAATGCATAACTTCAGGGCATCTGAGACATCATGCTGCCCCATCCCCAACACTAAACAGCCACGGAAAGGAAAATCCTCCGTCACCTTGTCGGTCAGTCTGTGGAACATCAGCCCTCATCACTTCTCACCCTGTTTGGGGCTACCAGTAGACTCTTGTTCTCCAGGACAGTTCCTGCAGGAAGCCTCAGAGCGGGGCTCTGAATAGCTCAGCCAGCTGGGCAGGAGGGGGCGAATGTGACTGACATTCTCCCAGGTCTGTCACCGTGCAGTTACACCTGCAGGCCCAGCCAGGCTCTTGTGCCACCCTGAATGCCCTCCATGACCCCTGCTAGCCAGCAGAGTCCAGCTGGGAGTGACAGCACGGCAAGCCTACTATGGTGCCGTGGAAAGTCCTCTTCTCAGATGTGTCCGGTCTGATTTTTGTTTGTTTATTGGCCAGAGTAAGAGGGAAATCAGGCAGCCACTTAGCCTTTGATGTGAATCTGCTTGGATAAGCTTTCCTTTGGCCAATTGTCTGTGCAGCAAGGAGGAACCCACTACCAGCCTGGCTGGGGCCCACTTCTGCAAGAACAGGAGCAGGAGCGGGGCTGGGGCTCTGCAGCTTCAAGGGCTCAGGCCTGGCTGTTTGATTTGTTTCTCAAGAGCTGCCCTGTTCTTCCTCTTCTCATGAAGCCGATGCTATTCATCAGGGGGCTTGAGTTGCCTAATTTCTTTTGTGACATGGTTTCCCCGGTCTGTTTTCAGACACGTGCATCTGGTATCGTGTTTTATATTCTGGGCAGCAAAAAAAAAGACACCAGCTCACGCTCGCCTGAGCCAGAGAGAGCAGAGAACCTCTAGTCCCTACCCACTCTGCAGGGGAATGCAGGGGTGGTGGGATCCTGGGGAGACCTCTGTCTCTCCAGTTCCAGGCAGATGCGTTCAATCTGTGGTCTTACATGGTACTTTCCCCAGTTCCTCCTGGTTGGTAACTTTGACAACTGCCAAGGCTCCCAGCCTTGAGAGCCCACAGTGTTGGCAAAGCGAAGCCGAGGATCTGTTTGTCAACATCTGAAGCCCAGTCTCCCCGGTTAGGTTCGTTCATAAACAACATAGGTTTCATGTCAAACAGAATAGAATCCAGATGCTACTTGTTAGTACAATTAGCTCACACTCCCTGTTGCCCACCACACCTTCAGAGCCTGAAGCACTGTCTGCTCCTGGCCCAGAAATGCTGTGCTGAGGACATGGTGTGCCTGCTGGGAAGGTGGGGACTGGCTTCCTGGGCTGTGGAGAGGGGTCCTCACATTCCGAGTCTACTCTCTGAAGACCAGAAAGAAGAGCTTCCCAATGGGCAAAGGGACAGAATTCCAAAGTACTCTACACTCTAGCTATGTGCCCACGGAACATGGCCAGACCTTGGGTTCCTCACCTGTAAGGTAGGGCTGTGAAATCCCCGCCTCACACTGCTGTTATGAAATGGAGCAAGAAGGTGTGTATAAAGTGCTCAGCTCCCACAGTGAGAGCTCAAGCAAATGCTGACTAAAAAAAATAAAATAAAATAAACAATATTCTCTAGAGCTGTTGTCTTGAGAAAGTTGTACAACTCCTGTTTCCCTGGAGACAGTTCCAATGCAGAAGCAGGGAGGACACTGGCATCAAGGCAGTCTTAGAACCTGAGATTGGAGCCAGTAACCTGGGAACACTGGGATGTGGGAAGGACAAAAGACCACTGAAAAATAGCTTGTCTCTGCCCATTCCATCCATCTCTATTGGCTGAATCCCCAAGGTTCAGGGAGTTCTTAACACACAAGATGTTCCCGGTCCCCATCTATCTAAAAGACTAGATGGCGGGAAGGGGCCAAAGTTAAACTGGTGAGGAAAGCCAGTGTTAATTTAAAAGGGCTTTGCCGCCTGCTGCTGAGTGTTATCTGGGGTGAGGTTATAATTACTATCAACGTTGTTGTTATCATGGTGCCCAAACTTGAGGAACATGATGGCTTTTTTCCTGGGAGTGGAATTGACTCATCTGGTTCAAATATTTGCATTCAACCCCAGTAGTCCTGGGGAAAATGAAGGTGACTCCCCTGGAAGAGAAACAATCTGAAGGCAGCTGCCCTCCCTAAAGACACCAAATGTGATTAAAGGAGATGCAGGGGCTGCCAGGTGTGGAAAACAAAACTTTCTTCCAGCACAGAGAGAGCAACGTCGGCTCAGCCCAAAGGGCGGCAGACAGGAAAACTGAAAGATGCTCAGGCCAGTTCTGTGGTTTGTTTGGTTTCATTCCCATACAAAACTGCTTTTCTCACAAACTAGATGTAGCCCTTACCCCAGGAGGAACTGATAACCTTACAAAACCAAGGAAAATGACTCCAGGCAGAATCCACCCAATCTGAGGGTGTGGCCTTGAGGCATGATGACCCGAGAATCTGATTTGGCTTTTTTCCCCACCCTCCTTTTCCCTTGTCAAAGATAACATGCATTAATGCCAAAGCCACATCCATATTGGAAACACTTGTCTTTTTATTTTCCAATTACTCTCAGCGATATCAAGGACTTTGTAATAAAAAGTTTGTCAGAAATTCTTTTTCAGGAAACAGAACCACAGTTTTAGTCTTGTCTACTCAACACATTGTTCCGAAATGTTTTGGTGATCTTTAAGCCCAAATCCTGAAGAGAGGCTCCCATAACCTCCCCCCCATTTTGAACTTCATTAAGACTCTGGGAGATGTGCTTATTTACTTGGGATTTGGTCACCGCATCTCTGACCTCAGATGAGAGGGCAGGAAGGTACCACACTTGAAAGGAGAAAGATTTCCACAGCATCCAGCTGTGCCAGGAGGAAAAGGGGAGCAGTGGAGTCGACCACAACTGCCTCTGAGATGCGGGGGTCTCAGCCTGCTGAGGTGCGGGCAAGGGTGTGGACAGGTGTACAGTGATAAAGGCAGGAACCAGCTCATGGAAGGCTGAACAGCCCTGCAGTTGAGGAGTTTGCCCTTAATGCCACAGCCTGCCAACTCCGGTCCTCCACCTGTCATGGCAGAGCCTCCAATGGACAAATGCGTCCCCCGTGGCTGCCAAAGATGGAGGCAGCCCAGGGTCCGCCAAAGCACCAGTGGATCAGCAAACTGTGCCGTGTATGGATATATACTTTTTCCTTTCTTATTT